AACACCGAAGCGTTCAAGCTTCTTTGATGGCCATGGATTCTCACATTGGAGCAAACCCTAAACCCCTAAACCCCTAAACCCCTAAAACCCTAAGCCCCAAACCCTAAACCCTAAACCCCTAAAGCCCGAAGCCCTAAACCCTGAACCCTAAAGCCCTAAACGTCTCAAAGCAGGTGCCGCTTCCCCAGGCTGTGGTTCCCCGCTTCAGCTGGTGAGGCCCAGGCCAACAGTTTTGGGGGGGCCCCAAGGGTTTGGGGCTTAGGGTTTATAGGGTTTTTAGGGTTTTTTTTTTTTGGGGGGGGGGCCCAAAGGTTTCTGCAAGGGCTTCCGTTTAGGGTTCAGGGTTTAGGGTTGAGTGGGTGAGGGTTCAGGGTTGAGTGGGTTAGGGTTTAGGGTTGAGTGGTTTAGGGTTTAGGGTTGAGTGGTTTAGGGTTTAGGGCTTTTAGGGTTGAGGGTTGAGGGGTTCCCTAAGCCCCTCACCCCTAAAAGGGGTTTTGAGGTTGAGGGGAGTTTCGGGCTGCAGCTCTGGGGGCGCAGGATCCCAAATCGCCGGGATCTGCCACTTTGGCTTGGGGTGAATTCCAGGGTTTAGGGTTTAGGGTGTAGGGTTTTGGGTTTGGGGTGAATTCTAGGGTTTAGTGTTTGGGGTGTAGGGTTTGGGGTTTAGGGGTTAGGGCTTCGGGTTTAGGGTTCCACAAAAAAGGCAGGCCCCGCAGGTCTTCTGCGGAAACTCCCACATCGCTGGAGCCCCAAGTTTTCCACAGTGCTCAAAATGGGCGTTTCCGAAAATAAGGGGTGCCTTAATTTGGGGTCCTTACAAAAAGGATCCTACTATTTAGGGTACTATATTAGGGTCCCTTGTTTGCGGAAACCCCCAAATGACCTACACCATGGGCACCTGAATGGTATGGCTGCACTTGCATGGTAAAGTGCTTGTGTGCCGGCGTCAGTAGTCTGTTGTAAATGGCTTCTTCGTGTTCCGGGGAACATACGCCTGAAGGACTGCGCCCCAAACCCTAAGCTCTACGCCGCTTTGCATTGTCTGTGTGCCCGAAAGCCCCATCTTGTCTCGGATGTCCACAGTTTGCGCGCAGCACGTCGGCTGAGAGGACCCGTCAGTTGTACGGAAGCCGTTGAAAGCCATGGGACAGGAGCAAAGCTTACGTGTAGACTGGAGCAATGAATTCCGCTGGGGGCGGAATACAGTGACCCTTGAATTGAACAACTTGACAGTTTCTGCGATGCTTGCTGAGAAGACCATTACGCTGGAACATTGTCGGGTCACTTTGTCGACGGATGTGAGTGTGGACTGCTCCGGAACCTATTCGGCATCGCAGACGATCACGATCTCAAAGACGCTGGATGAGAAAGATGTCGACCCGCGTTTCACCACAGAGACGAAGCTCACATGCAGCACACGATCCCGTCAGCATGAGGTGTTCAGGGGGCACTGCTCCGGCAAGAAGATCGTTGTCTACGCCTGGGTGGAGGTCGAGGCAGCCCTGAAGTTCAAGCGGGAAGGCTTCTGGAAGAGGCAGTGGGTGGCTTCTGCTGAGGTCGAGGTCGCCTTGAAGGCCCAGACCGAGGTCTCCGATGCGAATTCCGAGGAAGGTGAGCCGGCTTTGGAGGCCCTCCCATCTTTGCTGACAGCCGGTGCTGCCGCCCTGGCCCTGGCAGCCCGGAAGATCTGACGTTTAACATGCACACAGAGCCCCGAGACTCCCCTACCCCCTTCATTCGGGGCAAGGCCCAACGTTATCGTAGTGATTCTGTAAAAAACCGGCTAAATATCCCTCCATGAGGAACCCTTCCGCATTTTGCCGTATCAGAGAATCAGGGTTTCTGCGCCAGGGACCCTTTAGTGGGGACACCGGAGTCTCTGCGTTGTCCATGCCCTCGCATTTGGAGGAGTGTGTTGGGGAGCCAAACGGCCAGTTTCAGCGAGTTTTGACCCTTGGGCCTCTCCAAAGCACCCAAAGGTAGTTTCGGGTTCCGCTTTAGTGTTATCTAGAAGCTTCTTATGAGAAGAGCCCTCAAGGATCATAGGTTGAAACATGCATGCCCATGTCATGCCATGGGCAGAAACTTGGAGCCTTTGAAGTTAGCTCTCTCAGCCATGAGCGACCACAAGCGCGCGGCAAGTATCAGAAAAGGTTTAGGGCTTAGGGTTTAGGGTTTAGGGTTTAGGATTTAGGGTTCAGGGTTTAGGGTTTAGGGTTTAGGGTGTGAATCAGCGGACTGGTTCCACACCAGCCCACGCCGTGTGAGGATCAATGGTACACGATGCTTCCCAAACCCTGAACCCCAAACCTTAA